TCCTTCATTAATACAAGACTATTATATAAATCATTAAATTGTAGCTCTTGCATTACTCCCTGAGCTCTTTGCAAGACTTGTAGCTTCCTAATAATCATTATGAGTGTCAATAATATTCATTTTTTGACTTTTAAAAGCACTTTTATTTTCTTTAATAACCTCTTACATCTCCTTACTTCAGCTCCAAATCTCCTTATTAGTATATGTATATGTCTAAACTCTCCTATAACTTCTACAGCAATCTTCATGGAAGGAGTCATCTTTATCACACATCAGATTTCGCTTCTTTAAAATATTTTAATCTATGTTCCTTAGCAACATATCTTAAAAGATTAACAATTTCCCACCTTTTAAATACAACCACCTTATTCTAGAACAATAATTTATTTTGATGAGTTGCCTTTTTTAGCAATAGAAAGTAAGACATTTAGAACGCTTTGTGCATCATTAAATGCTGATTTTTCTCATATACCAGGAAGTACAACTATCACAGATTATCAAAATATTTATACTTAGAAGAAAGTTGATCGAAATAAGGAATTTACATATGATAAAAGAATAATTAGTTTAACATTGTGAACTCCTGGCCTCAAGCCACCAAAACAAATGATTCTTCACCGAACCATTGAATCATGTAATACTTGCTGTTAATATGATATATGTAGCTAAGTTTATGCACTAGAATTAATTGAACGATACACCTTTCTCTATGAGTGTATTAATTCATATTTTTAAGAATAAAGGTGATGCATAAAATTATGCGAATTATAGAGGAATTAAATTAATGTGTCATACTTTAAAATTATGGGAGAGAGTTATGGAACATAGGTTGCCGCGTGACACTAATGTTTCTCAAAATCATTTGGATCCATGTCAAGTAGGTCCACTATGGAAGCTATTCATTCAATGAGAGGTTTGATGAAGAAGTATAGAGAGAATAAGGAGGATCTACATATGATTTTTATTGATTTAGAGAAAGCACGTGACAAAGTTCCAAGAGAAGTGTTATAGAGAATTCTACATAAGAAAGGGGTTAATGATGTTAATATTCAAGTTATTAAGCATATATATGCATTAGCTGTTACTTGTGTTCAAAAACAAGGTGGTTTGACCAAGTATTTTCCTATTTAAGTTGGATTATATCAAGGATCAGCCTTAAGCCCATATATTTTTGCTTTAGTCATGGATGTTCTCACTAGACATTTGTAAGAGGTTAAACCCTGGTGTATGTTTTTATTTGATGATATTCTTCTTGTTGATAAGACTGGAGAGGGAGTTGAAGGTAAACTTGAATTATGGAGGTCAACCTTAGAGTCTAAAGGCTTTCGTTTGAGTAGATTTAAAACTGAATATATGGAGTGTAATTTTAGTAATAATAGATCTAGTAGGAGGATTATGACTTTAGGCAATCAAGTCATTAATAAGAGTACACATTTTAAATATCTTAGGTCTATTGTTCAGAGTGATGGTGAAATAGATGGGGATATTACTAGTAGAATTCAAGTTGGATGGTTGAATTGGAGGAACGCATCGGGATTGTTGTGTGATAAAAAAGTCTCTCTCAAACTTAAGAGAAAATTCTATAAGATGATAGTGAGACCTACAATGCTTTATGGTGCAAAATGTTGGCCATTAAAATAGAAGCATAATATTAAGTTAAGTGTCGCGGAGATGAGGATTCTCAAGTGAATGAGTGGTTTTACTCTTACAGATAGGATACAAAATGAACATATATGTGAAAAGGTTGGAGTACCTCCAATGGAAGATAAGATTAGAGAGAGTCGCCTTAGATGGTTTGGTCCCATAAAACAACGGCCTTCCAATGAAAAGTAGATCTCTATGTTGCACCGATACACCTATTTATGAAGGCGTTCTGTATCTGATACACCGATACACTGATACACCTCCGATACGGTACTGATACATGTCGGATACGCCTTTCCCATATCCAATTAAAATACTATTTAATTTCAAAAGGAGCAAAAAAAATCTGAAAAAAAAAAAAGATCCGTCGTATTTACTTCCGTGGCTGCGAGCGAGGTTCTCTCATTTCCTAGATGAATTTGAATCTCTTGATGATATGGGAATATTATAAATTGCTAATCTTTCACTTGATGAGCCTGAATTATAAGCTATGATATTTATTGAAGATGATATAGAAGTTTGAAGACAAATCACCGAAGAATCTAATCATATCATTCCTTCTATTGAATAGTTGAAACTTCATGTGCTAGAAAATTTATGTTTATGTTTATGTTGTTGTACTAGACATTTAATGCTTACTTTTATTTTGATATTATAAGCTACAAGGCTACAAATGCTGTTACTTTCATTTTTTTGTAATTTCAAATATTATGCTTTGATTGTTTTCTTAATTTTTATATATGTTTTATAAATTATAATGTCATGTCCGCATCGTACCCATATCCTATATTTTTAAGAATTGACGTGTTTCATATCTGTATCGTGTCGTATCTGTGTTGTCGTATTCGTATCGATGCAACATAGGTAAATGTATTAGATTTGACTTATGTTAAGAAGGAAGAGGCAGACCTAAAAAGACTTGATTAGAAATATTAGAAATGACATTTCTTTATTAGATTTAGATGAGAATTTGACTCTTAACTGTAGAGAATGGAGAAAAAGGATTCATGTAGCAGACCCCACATAGTGGGATAAAGGCTTGTTGTTGTTGTACTGAAATAAACTGCTGTTCGAGGTTGAAATAAGAGTAATATTAAAAATTGCGAGGAGTGCCTCTTCCTCAATTATATTGACTGATGCACCATTTTTGGTAATATTGATTTTTTTTTTCAAGGGATTTTCTATTTGGATTAACAGAAACTATGGAAATCTAAATCAAAGCGCTAGCCTGCATCCATCAGATTCCTACCATATATGCGAATTTGCTAATTCTAGAAACTATTACAAGTGTGATAACATTAAGATTGAATCTCTAATCATTATTGAAAAAATTGCTACCACAATTCTTTGTTAAATCATATCGCAGCCAATCTTCTCTTACTGCAGAAATGGCCTATCAAATTCAAGCGTTCAACATTTACATGTCGGCATTAAGTAGTAGTATCATGCTAAAATTGCTAATAGTTCTCACTAAACTTTGATTTCCTTCCATTCTATGTTATGAAGCACTGGCATTTTTAAATGCCATTTATGTATGTGTCAGACATGTATCATATATGGACATGACTCCAACATGTCTCGACATGTCCAAAATTATGCCAGGTCCATGTAAAGCACAATTCACTTTGGACAAGGGGCGGACATGTGATGAACATGATAGGACACTCCTCCAACACATAGAAATGCAGGATAAAAATTTTTATCTCATATAAATTTTAAATAGAGAGGTGGCTGCTTCAACTTCGACTTCAACTTCGGTTTGAACCCAAATTGTCATGCATATGTTGTCATGTCTGTGTCCCATTATTCATGTCCGTGTCTCATAGATTCTATGGTATTATTTTGGGAAGTAGGTTTCAGCAATAGCCAGTATTTGGTGATTCAGTTATTAGGCTTCATAAGCTGAATCTTTTGGCTGGTGATCAACTGAATGACCTTATAGTACTACGATGTCAATATATCACTTAATTGTAGAGACCATCATTCTAGAATTGAACAATAATAAAGATTATGGAATTTTGTCACAAAATAACTTCAAAGTTCAAACAAAGAAAAGAAAAACCATAAATGGTTTCATCTTATAAATTTTCTACTAGTATTTTAATCATGTGAACAATAGTGGGAGAGTGGTAATTAACAATAGTGGAAAGAACGATACAACGAATTGTATCGTGCGTATCGCCGTCTTCCTTCCGTCGGCAACTACTGGCGCATCTTCCGGCGCCAGTTCCGACGCCTATTTCCGGCGCCGATTTTGCGCCGCAAACAAAGCCGTGGGTTGTCTACGGCGAACTTGCGGCGTTTTATCCGCCGGTACTTACCGGCAGACAATCCGACAGAAACTTACCGTCGCATATGGCGCCGGAATTTATTGGTTGCAAGTCGTCGGCACCAACCCGATGTTTTACGCCGGTAATCCGTCGGTACGTGCGCCGGAACGTTTTCCGGCGTATTATATTCGTCGGGAAAAATTTATCGACGCGACCGAAACCGGCGTATGAATTTCCGCCGAAACGTGCGCCGGAAACCTAAGGTTCCGTCGGATTATCTATGTGTTCCGGCGGATTTAGTCCGCCGGTAATAACGGGTTTTCCTGTAGTGTAAAAACTATGATTTGTATGGATAAGGGAACATGATTTGTTTCAATTGGAGCTATATTTATTAAGCAGGTATAATCTTCCAAGTTAATTGGAGTGCTCATATCTTGAACTTAATGGCTCAATAAGGCCTTGAAGAGATTAGTAGCATTATCTAAATTATTTGAGACTAAGAAGGAAATCAAGTTAATTGGAGTGCTCATATCTTGTACATAAAGAAATCATGTTTGGCAACAAATGACAGTTATTCATAATATTTCTTAATCTATACATGAGACTTTAAATTGTATAATGCATATCATGGGCAAATTATTATCAAGTTTCCAACAACATGGACACATCTAACATTAAAATAGTACTCGTCACATATTAACAAAATTTTCATGGCTATATGCAAGAAATCAAAGAAAGCTTGAGATGAAAAGCTTTCATTTGGAGTTGTACAATGCCATAAAAAATGAGAGTATGAATATTCAATGGTAAGAGCGAAATTTTGTTAGTACAAATCGTCATGCTCAAATACTTAAAGTAATGGCAAACACAAATTTCATTGAGAAAGGGAAGACGAAAGGGGAATAAGGAAATGGAGGTAAAGGGAAAGATGAAGAAGAAGAAGAAGAAGAAGAAGAAGGGGGGAGAAAGAAAAAAAAAATCTGGAATAAGAGGAGGAGAGAAGTTATAAGAAGAAGAAGGGAAGGAGAAAGGGGAAAAGGAAGAAGAAAAGGAAGAAAAGGAAGAAGAAGAGGAGGAGGAGTTCACCTTGCAAGCGGGGACGAGCCGGCGGCTTGGAGTTTGGACGGGCTCCGGCCAGGTCTCGCAGGAGAGAGGGCAAACGGGAGGGAGCTCCAGCTCCTCGTGTCGTACGAAAGAGAGAACGGAGCAGGAGGATTTCCGCCTCTTGCGTGTGCCAACAGCCGAGAGACGGACGAGAGGGAGGGCTGTATGGGAATGAATCGAGAATTCTTCCGCCCCTGAGCTTCCGAACAGAGAAGTCGCGAGAGCTGGAGGCGTGCGAAAATGGGCGAGAAAGATGCTTCTCATCTGCCGAATCTGAGAGCTGCAGCGCGTATCCTTTCAATCGCCGCCCTGCCAAATCCGAAAATGGAAGCCCGCCCTTTCGCGTTTCATTTCAGTTACACGAGTGTTTGCTGAAAATAGAACCTCTTCGTTCTGCTAAAGATCGCGGAGATCAAGCAAAAAGTCGTTGGTTTGATTTCAGCCGCTCGATCTAATTTCTTGATCTACGCAGAGGATTTGAATTAAAGGAAAAGTCAGTTGGCATTTAACCTATAAGTCAATTAAACTCATTTGGGTCTGAAACTGAGCCTGAATCGAATCAAGTTTGGATCAATTTGAGTAGATTTTCGATTAAATTAATTCAATGAAACTTAGTGAAATTAAAATTCAAATCGGCACCAATTTGGCTCAAATTAGGTTTAATAGGGTCCAATCAAATCAATCAAACATGACCGAGCCCACTCGAACTCAAATTTTGCTCAACCGATGGAGAATATGCATGCTCGAGAGCCTAAGTGCGAAAGCTAAGGTCAACAGACATCAATATTAGTTGACAAAAGATGATGACAATTAGACGACAAAAGTTATGTGATGAAAATGTTTACAATAATCAATGCCGATATAATTAACAAGTACTCATAATCACTAGAATTGATTAGTAAGCAATGCCTTATTGTTGCGGGCTAGAATATACGCGGCAATAGAGTTAGAAAGTTTTCGTCTCAGCGTTGTATGGATATCCAGCACACAAACAGAAGAAAAATAAAAACACTAGGATTTTTACGTGGAAACCCTGGAAAGGGAAAAACCCACGGTGTCACTCCCAGTTGAAAGAATTCCACTAGTATTTGCTTGAGGTACAAGAAGCTGACTCGTCCTTAAAATTTAGGACAATCAGATTACAATGATTCACTCCCTTATTGAAATCTGATTACAAACAAGTTGTGTATTCGAGCTGAATTCCAGAGTCACTTAGAGATTAGACAGAATTCTGACGTCAGTTGTAGATCGGGAAGAGTTTCAGTGTCACTGGAAAGTCAAGCAGAACTCCGGCGTCACTTGGAAGTCGGGTAGAATTACAGCGTCACTTGGGAGTCTGACGAAAATCCGGTGTCACTTGAACGTCGGGCAAAACTCAGGCGGTGGTCAAGGAGGAGTTTATTCCTCCTTCCCTTCTTCTCTTTTCTTTCTTCTCTTCTTTTTTTTTTTGCTTGGGCCCCCTCTCAAGAGAAATGAGGGGTTATTTATAGTTTTTTTTAGGATGGCATGACCCATAAATAGGAGGAGGATCAAGGGCAAATGCATAGTAGTTCGGATGGACGGCCGATATTGAATCCCTTGATCGTGGATCCTTTGTCAGACATTTTAAGGTTTTAACAATATCAGAATTATGTAATCTTGGGTTTGTTGGATTTGTCTCGTCGAGCCGCTCGATTCGACTATAAGCATGTCATGTTTGAAAACTGTTTAGTAATCCAAATTGTGGTTTGAACCTTCAAACAATGCTTCAAGTCTTCAATTTAGACTCATTTGGGCTCATATTGAGTTGAATTTGGTGTCGTTGGGTTCGTATTTCTGATACGCTCAGTTTGACAGTAAGTTTGTTGAAATCGGAGTTCAGATGATCCCAGATTTAATTTTTGGATCTTCCAACTTGATTTTGCCTTGAGATTCGTGTCCAATCAAGATAATTTTTGATGATATATCACTTATGATTCTTTAAATCGAAAAAGCTCTCCTCATTGAAGTTCCCTTCATGTGTAGAATGAAGACCTTCCATTTGATAATAGGATAATGATATGAAGCTAAACCCTTAACTACTTAATATCTTAATATCAAATTAATGAAAACACTGTTTTTCTTTAGTAACAGGATACAGATAAATGTAATTCGTGCACCTACAAAAACAGTTTTTTTTAAACTAAACATTGTTTAAGATTTAATTAAGGGATTAACTAATGAAAAAATTAAAACTCGTCAAAAGTCGCTCGTTTAACCGACAACTTTTTAATTAAGGTAAGTCGCCCGTTTGACATGCAACTTATATAAAAATAATTTATTTATTTTAATGTAATCTATATTTATAATTATGTTTACACTTTTTTATATTTACAAAAGATTTATCAAAATGTGATTTGAATGTGTAATTGTTGTGGAAATTGGATTCCACTGTTATAAGCTAAAGAGAAAAGAAAGTCACTTACTGAGAATTTCTTTTCATTTTAATATCCTAGTAGATGACCCACATAAGGAGAATGAAGAAAAGAAGCCCACCGAAGAACAAGAGAATGAAGATCAAGACTAGAAAAATGTCTTATTTTTTAGATTTGCGTTATTATATAGGAATAGAATCCAAATTGTTGTCGTTGGAGCTTGTCCACCATTATTTTTATACACTTTGGGTTGTATAATAAGTGACACTTGTCACATAAACTTTGGACACTTTACTCTGGATGATGTTCTGATTTGATTGATTGTTTACTCTGTTTGTGCAGTAGAAATGACATATTTTTTATAAGTTTCTTTCTTGCATGTGCATGTGCTTGAACTCTACTAGGCTCTTAGGAATAAAATTCTTCAACTCATAATTAAAAAAAAAATATGAATTAAATAGCATAAAAAGATAAACGATCTAAGAAAATAAGCCGGAGGCTATCGGGGTCGCATGCATATTAATTCCTAAAATTTAAAATATGACTACGCTATTATTGTTCTTTATAATCATAGAAATGACTGCGTTATTACTGTTCATAGAGACAAAATTGAACCGTTCTCTGTGTTCTACCTTTGCAGGTAATAATCTCTCCCTTTACACACCGGCCTAGCCAAATGGTATACCTATCTGAATATAAAAAACAGGCTTACCGTAAATTCAGTAATATTGAGAGGTTTTGTACGGAATGTTACATAATTCTTTATAATATTGTTTCTTATAAATAAAAGTTTTATTTATGTGAATTAAATTTTTTTTTCTCTTACCTTTAGAAAAAAATAATAAGATGGTTTGCAAAGTTAAAATACTTCTCTGACACTGAGAGCACTAACTACTACGCAAAATATGCATTCTTTTTACTACTTGTTATTGGCATTAACACTTGATATTTTGCCGCATTGCCCCCAAATAGGTATGGTACATTTCTTCACATGAATTATATATTTATATTTGAATAAATTTAAAATTTATTCAAATATAAATATATAATTCATGTGAAGAAATGTACCATACCTATTTGGGGGCAATGCGGCAAAATATCAAGTGTTAATGCCAATAACAAGTAGTAAAAAGAATGCATATTTTGCGTAGTAGTTAGTGCTCTCAGTGTCAGAGAAGTATTTTAACTTTGCAAACCATCTTATTATTTTTTTCTAAAGGTAAGAGAAAAAAAAATTTAATTCACATAAATAAAACTTTTATTTATAAGAAACAATATTATAAAGAATTATGTAACATTCCGTACAAAACCTCTCAATATTACTGAATTTACGGTAAGCCTGTTTTTTATATTCAGATAGGTATACCATTTGGCTAGGCCGGTGTGTAAAGGGAGAGATTATTACCTGCAAAGGTAGGACACAGAGAACGGTTCAATTTTGTCTCTATGAACAATTGCAGACCTCACTACCATCTTATAGAAATTTCCCTTAAGTTTGAGGGGTACATTTCTATCACATAACAAGCCCAATGCATTCCTCCACCTCAACCATCCAACTTGAATTCTTCTGATAATATCCCCATCTATTTCACCATCACTCTGAACAATAGATCCAAGATATCTAAAACGTGTACTCTTATTAATGACTTGATCGCCCAAAGTCACAATCCCCTCACTAGGTCTATTACTACTAAAATTACACTCCATATAATGAAACATCTAATAAAATTAAATTTTCAAATGAGTAAAAACCAAAAAAAATATAAGCTTTATGTTGGAGGTCCTAACAGTGCTCCTAATTATGTATTATAAAATTATGATGACTTAATGAATTAGAGTCAACATATTGAGTTCATTTTTTAGAACCAAATTGATAATGTGAGAATTGAATATTATTTCTTCTAGCTCATGAGAGATTTTACAACATTGAAGGAGTAGGAGTAGACAAGTAAACTAACTAATATAAATTATGTCTATATACTTCATGCTTCTATGCTTACAATCATAATGATTATTAGGTACTATACTTGACATAATCTTTTCATGTTTCAGAACATGATAATCTTTTACTTCTAAACCATTTTGGGAAAGCAGAGAAAAGTTAGAATTCAAATTGCAACACATATTTAGAAAATAAGTTCAGGCATGAGATGATAAGAAAACTTAAGGTAATAAATCAATGAACAAGTTTGCGTTACATAATTCATTTGGGTTTTGTTTCGGAAGGTCTTTTTACTGTTTCTTATAACATCTTTGTAGTATACTAGAAAGGTTTTTTAAGAAAAAGAAAGAAAGCTGTCCCAAATGAAGCCTTAATGCTAATGCTTCGTTTGGGACGGCTTTTTTATTGCTTTCTAAAACAGAGTTTTAGTACAAAAATATAAAAAAAATGTACTAAAACTCCGTTTTAGAAAGCAATAAAAAAGCTGTCACAAACGAAGCCTAAGTCCTACATTCACAAATGAGGAGACAACCATCATAAAATTAGTAATATAAATTTTAGTAATAGAAATATCTCATATGTATTCAATTCAAGTGGAATTTAAGATTGATGAGAATGTATGATGCTGGCCTTTCAAAGTGTTAGAAGTTTACAATACTTCAACTTAAAAAGTAATCAAAAGATCCAATTTTACCGTAATATTGACTCAAGAAAAAAAGGAATAATTACCAAGCAAATTTATGTTATTTCTCAAAATGCCCCATAAAAAAATTTATTGAAAATTTGGGGTATTCAATTATTCATAAGAAAAAAGACAATCAATGAGCCCTAATCTATTTACCATTCATAAGAATCACATGGAATGCCTCAAGCCATGCACTTTTCTTCAACAACAACAACAACATCAAGCCTTTATCCCATCATGTGGGGTCGGCTATATGAATCCTTTTTATCCATCGTGTCATGTTAAGAGTCAAATTCTCTTTTAAATCTAATAAAGATTGGTCATTTCTAATATTTTCTAACTAAGTCTTTTTAGGCCTACCTCTATCTCTCTTAACAAAAGTCCAATCTAATATATTTACTTTCCTGAATAGGACATCAGAAGGCCACCACTTTATGTTCCCAAACCATCTAAGGTGACTCTCTCTAATCTTATCTTCCACTGGTACTACTCCAACCTTTTCACATATATGTCCATTTTGTATCCTGTCTCTAAGAGTAAAGCCTATGTTTCTTTTTAATGGCCAATATTCTACACCATAAAGCACTTTTTTTTGACGGGATTAAAAAGATGGACCAACATCTAGATCAAAGGACATTCATCTAGGGTTCAAAACATCATGATTTTGGAGATCTCCCTCATTCCTAGCATATCCTCTCATGGTTGAGAATTTTAGGGACTTGACAATACACATGAGAATGAGGTTCTATGTTTTGAGATTTTTTAATTTTTCCTTTGTAAGAGTGTGCTTGAATATTGAGAAAGAGCTAATATCTGCTTCTCAAAGTAATATTTTAATACAAAAATTAAAATTTTATACTAAAAAAATTACTTTAAAAAACAGTAAGAAAATTATCCCAAACGAAACGTAAGATGTTATAGATCAATTATTTGATCAAGCCTCAGACTAAACACTTTATGAACTCCTTCAATATAATATCTTTAATTTTTTACACAAAGAATGAACATAAAATCATTTTTAAACAAACGAAGAAAAGGAACAACTTATAAACTTTTCCAAAGGCAACATACACTAACTAATGAGAAAAAAAAAAAAGCCATTAAAAATATGTACAAAAGCTTGGCTTTCATCAGTGTAACCATTCGAGAATCCTGTATACAGCTACCGCACCTTGTACGGCATAGAAGTGTCCTTCCTATGGTAATTTGCATGACAAAAAAATTTTAAAAAATAAAATAAAATACATGAACCAGAAAAGTCAAGCTGAATCAAGAAAAAAGCCCCCATTCCACCCTGACTAATTTTCATCAAGCTTTCTTACCCTTTGGTTCCAATCTCCGGTCAGAAAAAAACGGCTGATATGGTGTTAGTAAGTATTCATAATGGCTGTAAATGATTTTGCTCTATGATTATGACTTCGTTTGGGACGATTTTTTATTGTTTCTTAAAAAAAAATTTTAGTGCAAAAATTAAACTTAATTTTTTACTAAAAAACTGCTTTAAAAAGCAATAAAAAGTCATCCCAAATAAAGTCTATATCTGTCTGTTTCTGCGTTTTAATTGAAGGAGATGGCCTCGCAGACTACAGTACTTCACCTGTTTCAAGTTTTAAACTTTTAATTGAACTGTGAATTTGGTGTCCAACAAGATGAGAAACATACAGGTTTCGGCCTTTACATGTAATGCTGCTACCGTCGATAAGAGATTCCTGGATTGATCTAACAAAGCTTGTTCTTTTGCAGCAACTTTAGCAAGTTCTGAAACCAAGGAGTTCGTGCCTTCAACCTATACAAGGACCAGAAAAATTTTAAGGGAAACGGATGGACAATGGAGATGATAAAGTTTGTTTAGAAAATTATTGTTATTTGATTAAAAAGATGTACATATGAGATATGATGCAGTACACAGCACAGCAGCTATCTTTGACTACTTAACTTCTACATTAATGTGTTTGTGTCTTAATTGAGCGATTAATAATTTAATATTACTTGGAGTCTGTTTTTGCTTATGATATTCTTCTTGTTGATAAGACTAGAGAGAGAGTTGAAGGTAAACTTGAATTATGGAGGTCAATCTTAGAGTCTAAAGGTTTTCGCTTGAGTTGATCTAGAACTAAATATATGGAGTGTAATTTTATTAGTAATAGACCTAGAGAGGGGATTGTGACTTTGGACGATCAAACCATTAAAAAGAGTACATGTTTTAGATATATTGGATATATTGTTCAGAGTGATGGTGAAATAGATGGGAATATTATTAGCAGAATTCAAATTGGATGGTTAAAATGGAGGAATGCATCGAGCTTGTTGTGTGATAGAAAGGTCCACCTCAAACTTAAGGGAAAATTCTATAAGATGGTGGTGAGACCTGCAATGCTTTATGATGTCGAATGTTGGCCATTAAAAGAGAAGCATAATACTAAGTTAAGTGTTGCAAAGATGAGGATGCTTAGATGAATGAGTGACTTTACCCTTAGAGATAGGATACGAAATGAGCATATACGTGAAAATGTTGGAGTAGCTCCAGTGGAAGATAAGATTAGAGAGAGTGGCCTTAGATGGTTTGGTCACATAAAACGACGGCCTTCCAATGACCCGGTTAGGAAAATAGAGGTATTAGATTGACTTATATTAAGAAAGGTAGAGGTAGTGATGTGATGCAAGCTTGGAGTTACACAAGATTATAAAGATAATTTACTAAAAGTTTAACCGTTATAAAATTATGCGTCAATTCCAAGTTAGTTACAAGAATTCTCAGTATTCCACTTGCTTAGGCTAATAGTTGTATGAAGATTAACCAAGACAATTTAATCAAATACAAAGGCGAAGTAATGTAAGAGCTTAACACACAAATCCAAAAGTTAATAAGGAGTTGTTCCCCTTGGGGATCTACTCTCTTCCCTACGAATCTAGGTTGAGCAGAGGAAGATCGTCAACACTAGAAATGAGGTAGCCACTAGGACGGACGAGCCGAGGAACGTCATTGTTGGGAAGGTAGTCGGAGGTGGAGGTGGAGGTGGCACGGGTGGATGACCGTTGATGGTCCACTCGTAGTACGAGAATTGATCGTCGATGACGTCCACAAGGGTGGGGAGGATTCGGTTCAAATACTCTTCAACGGTGTCGTCAAAACAAAACCCGGCGTCGAAGAATGGTGAACGAACAATGTGAATGTCTCCGTAGACGTCGAACACGAATCCGCTATCAACTTCGGGATCCGTCATGCATCCTTGTTGAGAGATGAAAGAGCAACGACGGATGCAAGAATAAAAGGAGGGGAGAAGTTGTGTGGTCGGCAAGAAGTCTTGAGAGATTGGCTAGGTTGGGAGAGCAATAGGTAATTCCAGGAAATCTGAAATAATTTCAGATTTTTATAAGTTCGGGAGAGGATTTAAGTTGAAATTTCAAATCAATCCCAAGAGGGAAGGAGGGGCGGCAGTGGAGGAAGATTTGGGGCTGATTTAGTGGTGATTAGGAGTTAATTTGGGAGAGAGAAGAGGCCCATTAAGGGGCCGGTCATATGAGAAGGAGAGAGAGGTTTGAGAATTAAGAAAGTGGGCCCCAAGGTTTAATAACTAATTCATTATCAAATCTGAAGTTTTAATTTCAGATTTGATTATATTTAAGTAACTTTCCAAATTGACATGATATGAGAGGGAAAAGAATTTGAATTTCAAATTAGGCTTTAATCCCCTTAAATGTCTTTCCTAAATAAAGGAATACTAATTAGGAAATTAATTTAATCAAGGAGATAGGAAATTAATTTAATCAAGGAGATTTGAAATTCAAACGGAGTTGGATCAAAGGGGAAGCTGGCGGCAAGGTGGGAGGCTGGGATCGGCGGGCTGGGGGCTCACGGGTGGCTGCCAGCTGTAGGAGCTGGGGTCGGCAGAGGGGGCCGGCTGCTGGAGGGAGTAATTGGCCGGCGGCCAAAGGCCTGGACTGTCTAATGAGGCTGGCGGCAAGGAGAAATGTAGGGAGGAAAAACAAAAGCTTGGTGTTTGGAGAAATCAGGGAATTGCTAACCTCACGTACTTCTTCCTCAAGATCCCACAAAGAGGTCGTAGCCTCGTAGGAATGCCGAAACTCACACAGAGATCCACGAAACTCTCTTCTCAAGAACTCACGAAGAGAACTAGGAAAATGTAGAACTCACAGAGAGATCGATAAGTAGAATTTTTTTTTATTCATCAATCATCATCATACATAAGAAAATGGCCACATATATAGGCCTCAAAATCACAAGGAAACAAAAAACTAAAATGCCCCTTTGGGATACAATAGCGACTAACTACCCATAAGCGCAAAAACGAAAAAACTGAAATAACATGATTAATACATAAAATGCTAATACATAAAATGCATCAAAAGTAAAGACTATCCATCATGGCCATCGATCTCCTGTGTCGCCTCTGATAAACGCGTTGAAACCTCCTGTCGATGTCCCCATCAGGTAGACCTAAAAGACTTGGTTAGAAAATATTAAAAAAGAACTTTCTTTATTAGATTTAAGTGAGACTTTGACTTTTAACATGACACAATAGCGAAAAAGGATTCATGTAGCCGACCCCACATAGTGGGACAGAGGCTTGATGTTGTTGTTGTTGTGTGTTTGTTTTACCTTTCGTGCGTAAGTGTTTCCTGCTTTTAGTAATGGAGGCCGAAAAGGAGTATGACTACCTGAGGACAAAACATTATATTCACCTTTTGTTCTATGATTGCCATTCTCCAGTTTAAATTGAGAGGTATCACTTTTCCTGTGTTCTTCCGCTTTCGTGTTCCCATCTCGCTGGCCTTTCGCAACATTCTAGCGTCAGAGCCTAAACGATGGCAGATGATAGCAACCAGTCTCGTGAAGATGATAGCAAAGTAATGCTCCACTTTGTAGATTCAATCATGGTTGTCCTCGCCCTCAAAGATGGGCATCTTCAGCTTTCTCACCTTTGGGCCACCCCCGTTTCCCCTGAATCCTCCATAACATCCCATTCCCCGAAGAAGAGGTGCTCCCTAATTGTCATGATCTTCCCTCTGACAATCATACCCAAACCCTTCATCACATTCCCCTCTTCTTCTTTCAAAATCATCATTTCGACAGTAGAAATCATCCCTCTTCCCACAAATCAACAACCCTCCTTTCGTAACCCATACTCATATCCTCCCTAAAAAGTGGTTCTAGAGGAGGCATTCCGTCATCTCCCTCAAGGATCTCCACTTTGGATTCTACCTCCCCGTAAACGGGTTCGGATTCCTCCTCTCTCATGGCCGCTGGTGGTCTCCTTTGCTTTCGATGTCACCGAATTTTGTTTGTCTTCAAGCATCTTCTTCATCATGTCTTCCAAGGTGGCAAACCTACTAAATTTCAAAGAATACAAGAAAAATTACAAAATTTCAAAGAAATTCAGCAATAACGATGGAGTTTTCACAAAAAAATATGTAGGAAAATAGGGATAAACACACTTGAAATTCAATACGAGAAGGAAAAGACAACACGATACAATGAATCTTCAATTCAAGATGAAGATTCAACTCTCCAAATCTCTAGCTGAAGCCTAGAGCCCAAGAAAAAACCCTAGATCTTAAATTCAGATTTCACAAATTCAAGATGATCTCAAAACCTAACAAGAGAGACTAATCAAAGAAAAAGGAACATTACATAATCCCTAAACAACCCCTAATTCAAAATTTTCCTCCAAAACAATGTTTCATTAAACCTTGGGCCCCACCAAGGCTTCTGCCCACCTCCTGCTGTATGCCCCTCCCTGTCTGCGTCGTTGGGTGTAAACCAGAAGCCGTACAACAAAGTTGGACCAGTTCAGGTCTAACGCAATCCTTGTTAAGTACTCCATAAGATGTTAATTTTCATCGTATATAAATCTTTTTGCATAACTTCTAAATCTATTACTTTTGGTTAATCACTTTTCAGTATGGGTGCAAACGAGTCAAGTCGAACTCGAGCCCGGGGGTGTTTGAGTCGAGCTCGCATGCCAAATACCGAGCTCGAACTCGAAAATTTGAGCTCGACTCGTCTCATGTCGATCAGCTCGTCGAGCTCAGTCCCGAGCTCCGCTTTGGAGTCCTTCCAGACTCCCAGGTAGTCTCGTCGTTGTGTTCATCGTCATCGTGTCCGCTTGTCGTCGTGTCCGTCGTCGTCCCCAGGTCCATCGTCGTCGCGTCCACTTGTCGTCATGTCCGCTGCGACTCATCTGCTTGTTGCCGCATGCCAATTGCCAAATATTGAGCTTGCTCGGCATCGTCCCAAGGATCCTCCACCGAGATTCAGTTTTCCCGCCCGTCGATTTGTAATGATCTTCGTCCCAAGCTCAATACTATAATGATATAATACTCATCTCAGCTTTCCCGCCCCGTCGATTTGGTTTTCTCGCCCAACCTTTGAATCATCGCGACAGCCTGCTCGATTGAGATCTCCGCTTTCCCGCCCAGTCACCTCCGCGAGCCGCTCGACGAGCTGACGAGTGGAGCAGACGTCTGTTCAAGCTCGAGCTCGATAAGCTGTCGAGCTCGAAATCGCGTTCAAGCTTGACTTGTGAGCTCGATAAGTTCGACTCGTCTAGCTTTTTACCAAGTCGAACTCGAGTCAGCTCGCGAGCCGACTTGACTCGGTTGCACCCTGGCTTTTCAATCATAATCTCTCATCATTAATTTATCTATTTATCTTATTAGTGTAGCTTCTACTATTCCATGTACATGATCAAACCACCTAAATATACTTCCATTAATTCACATTCAATAAGTACTACACCTACTACATCTTAATCTATCTTTCTTAGTTTCCCGGTATTAGAGAAACCACATATTAATTAAGAATTACATTGTGTGACCTTATGTATTACATTACCTGTAGCTAGTATTTACTTTCTATAAATAGATGCACTGTACAAACAAATAGATGATCAATAAAAATATTCTTCCGATATCTGTGTTCTTGCTTGCGTCTACCGTCGTCTCTCTTGAACTCGATCTTGAGTTTCAACACCCGGACACCATCTTATGCTTTACTATTTTGCCACACTCAACTTAGCTATCAACAACATATCTCCGAACTGTAAGACTCATACTGAATAATCAATATCAATGCGATTTTATTAAATTTAACTAATAGTTTCATAATATCCTTTTAATGCACATTTTTATTTCAACAATCTAATCTTAACTCTATAAGCTGCATCCTCATCCATGTCCCGCTCTTCTACATAATACAATCAAGATACTTAAACCAATCACAAATAGATTCATGATATTTAATAAGAGTGCTATACGATGTACTAATGCAAGTAAATCCATGCAACTTCTATGCATGTCACATTTGTTCTAACGCTTTCATTCTAATCCTTCAACATTAATATATCTATCAATTTTATTGGTGCATCTTTTGCTCTTATTGTATATGCCGAAGCCACCTTATGTTATTTATCTTCATTAGGTCCCGTTCTCACTCTAATATAATCATATCTCAATATCCTGTTTATTTTTCCCACATTTTCATCTCAAACTTTTCATGTATACATGCTCAGTTTAGCTATTAATGCTTTTGTATAGCAAAAATTTAGATTCAGATAGAATAACTATTTTGATTATAACTTTATCAAATCTAGATTATGTTTCCACCATATTGTATAGTATTCATAAAGCACTTCTTTACTTAACTATCCATAGTTTTACATTTTGTATCATCTTTATCACTGTTCTTCTTAATACCAAATTCAAGAAAATTAAAGCAACCTGGCCTCATATAGGTATTGTATAACCTTTAAATAATAATTATTTACCACTACCAATTTCACTCTTATTAAAATTGACATCTAATTAACACCGTTCGTAATTTTCATAAAAGTGAATAGATAATAAGGCATAATAAAGATGACCCAAATCACTGGGATAATCTGTTGGCTATGTTGACGACAATCAATTAAAAATTGTAAGAAAAAAATTATATAAAAGTATTTCACTATTTCTAGTAACTGCTCAAGGATCCTACATGAGCTCTTCAGATTTGTAGTCTTTCGTGGGAATAAACCTGACAATTTATTTTCTTATCAAAAAAGCTAAGCACTTGAATTAAAACATAGCTTCACTTGAACCTAAACAGGGTTAAGGTACCATTCAGGAAAAAAAAATTAACAAAAAGGTACCAACTACCCACCAGGCCACCAACTGCCCAACTTTCTATATGAAACAAAAGGCAAGCATTCCTTTTTAAATTGAGAAAATAATGAGATGAATGACTGGAAAGAAAATTAATTATTGAAACATTGGTTCTAATATGGGCGTGAACAAGAGTTTGTGATTAAATTCGCTCAAAATACAACCCCACCCCCAAAAAAAGGTTCTGAATTCATAAATACTTTAATAAGTAAACACTGAGCTTATTGAGGATTCATCCTAAGCTAAGCCAAGCTTGAGCCGATGCACCCAGTGTGTTAGAAAAAAGAATAAGACATGCAAAACAGGTTCTGAATATTAATGAGAATAGCCAGGAAAAGGAAACAGGTTAAGGGAATTTTCAAAATTAAGCATAGAACTAGTGTAAAAGAAAGTAAAGGGAGGAGAATGTAAAGTGGACGTGATGGAAGGATGATAAAAGTTAAGCAGCAACCTTTGACATTAAGGAGAACATTGAAGCTTCCATCGCCTGCATCACATCCACTGCTGACACAACGGCATCATTCACATCTTGTAAATCTGCCTGTAAAGCACAAAATGACAATAATAATCACAGTTGATGCCTTTTTACGATATATACATATTTCTTTGTTTTGATATATTGGATACAAACTAACTACTATGGCCCATTAGGGAGATACGCACCCTTGCTCCACTGACAACGGGAAGGCGGAGAGTGCTAGCCTTTAATGATTCAATTGCACCAGATAATGAACTTGGATACTCTCGGTCCAGAAGAAATGTTTCCTCCAAATAGACCATCTGAAGGGTTCAAATAATAAATTATTTTTTTATTAGAAGTATATAAAAATATAAAAATGGTAAAATTTTGTTACAAATTATTGATTAAATATTGTGCCCTTCAATTGGATCAAAACCAAAAGTCACTCAATAAAACTATTGATTAACCCCCGAAAAATCACAGGTTGAGAATCAGTCCCGATAGTCCAATAAACTAAACCAAAATTCTTGCCTCTTCTATTTCTCTCTGTAATTTGGCAGAATAAGAAAACGTTCATTTTGAATAGGCACCAACAGATCACCTCAACATCAATATTAGACCCTCGATCAAACCAAAAGGAGGCATCGCTAATCATAAAGCAGAACAATAGCTTGATGGTTCAACTCAAATCTTTCCTAGCACCAATCTCAAAGACATTCAACAATCCAATTTAGATCTCCACTACACTAATTTCAAAGCCCAAGCCTTTCATCTACCTGTCCACCACCCTAAGGGTTATGATGATCCAATTCCAATCTCAAAGACGTGATGTCTTGATCCTCAACCCTCTAATAAATTATTTGACAAAAATATCCATCAACTAAGGGAATTTTCGTCAAACACAGATCTCAAAGATGGAGTATCTCCTGCATATCTAATGTTCACCTCACCAAAAGTACAAAACTACACACCACCAAAACAACTATTAATAACATATTATGGTCCTCTTTGAACATCTAAAAATATATAATGGACCCCTTTTAACCGTCTCTAGTCACCAACATGGCGCTATTCTTAGCACTAGTAGAAATTCATTTGAACCGATTGCATATTATAATATCTTGACTTTCAAATAGTACTTTTTAGGCAGACAAACTTTTAGATATCAGACAAATGCTAATGCTTCATAATGATCGATGTTTATTGTCATGCCAACTGAAATAATTGGCATATCAAAGGACAAGCTTTATTAGTTTCTGATCCTGAACAGTATAAGATTTTAGTGGGGATTGTTCTTTGCCCTCATATCAAATGTAAATAAGACATGATCATACTCATCATGAAATACCTGTCAACTTTATCAAATATGCCACGAATCTTTGCTAAGGCCATAGGTAAGTCTTCTAGAAATGGACAAAATTCATGTATCCCAATATCATAGATGGACATGATACGTGCAAAAACCACTTTGCATAAGAGTATATTTTATCTTGATAGTATATATCCACAAAGAATGTATATGTTCAACAATGGAGAATTAAAAAAAAAAGGTACTGTGGCAACTAAAAAGCGGGAAATGGATAAAATCCATAGAAACTATACAGCATAGTAAATGAGTGTCTAATACATGATGACATAAGAAAATGCAAGTTTCTAAAGATTAAATTTGGCTCAAAAATGACTTCCCATATGTCATCGCAAGCTCCTGCCCTCATATGTATGTTGGCTTAAAATCCATTTTGTTCACTCCGGAAGCCTATAATGATGTGTCAGCCTTTTGGTGGGTTTTCTCGGTCATTTACTCATTGAAACCCCTACCTAATCTAGCTCTACAGCTGATGGACTTTTAATGATACGATGTGCACAAGTTGTTAATCATCTACTTAAAAGGAAAGGACCATATTCTTAACTATCAATGGTTCTCAAACTCTAATGCAGGGCCACACATTTTCTGTATTGCAGTCACCGTGGCATTGATGGAGCAATAAAGTTTGTGATTAACTGGCAACTTACCTTATTAATTGGTTTACGGAGTCACTAGCTTACACAAGTCAGGTTAACCTTCTTTTCACACAATTAAATCAGCAAACCAATTAACTTTAACATTATTAATTGTGGAAAAGTTTATTCTGACGCTAAGAGAGAGCATCTTATAAACCCAGATTTCCTGAGAACAAACAATTAAAAAAATGCTCTTCCACAAAGCTTTTTAACTAATCTGCAATTGCATAAGCTTTTCTAGGAAATACTTTTTAACTAATCTGCAATTGCATAAGCTTTTCTAGGAAATAAACAGAACCTCCAATGATCTCAAAGTTATTAATGAAACTAATAATTATCAACATAGCTACAGAAAAAAAAAAATAAAGATGTACATGAGCAAATAGGCTTCCATCAGAGAAATGATAAATGGCAAAGCACGTTACAACGGAAAGCTTACCTGACCCTTAAGAATGGTAGTTAATTTTAGACAAATTGTCAGGAAGTGTAGCTTGATTGCTTTAACAGTAACCAAGTCGCGCATCTCTGAGATGGTTAACCATGCATTATAAAGATTTTTCTGAAATCAATCATAAGAAAGCATCAGGTTCTAGAATTTAGTGGTTCTGTGATAGCAAACAAGAATGATACCAAAAATCTCTTATGCATACTAACATAAGGCACGTACATGGATGATAAATTTTGTCGGCTTACCACAACAGATTTAAAATCAAGCAGAAATGGTTGCACATGAATCCAGAAAAAACCAAGTCATGTGTTGAAAGACGCCAACCACCAACCTCAATTCCATACATAGGTACAACGTTATAGACAGGCAAACAAAATTAGGAAATGCAGGTGAACAGTTATCAAATCAAAAGTCTGTAAATTGAAGGAGATTGATTGTTTCAAATAACGAGTTATAAGTGGTTATGAATTGAAGCGGGAAGAAATCAAAGGCAACGCAAACAATACTTACTATTTTTGTACTCAAAACAAGCAGATTATAACAGACAATTAGAAGCTAGACATAAAGGTTGACAAGAATATATATAGAATGCCTGGTCAAGTAATTGCACAGCAAAACTGCAGATATCAACATTTTTGAAATAAGTGATGGATTACTTCGTCCTTATATAGTTAAAGAATATTATTTTCAGAGTTTAAAAAATCAATCAAAAGCGACGAGGATGAAAAATCAAACTAATAGAAAAAGTGAACTCTTCTTACTGACAATCTTTATTAAGTTTCAAAAAATGGTAAAAGTTGTAGAAGCAAACAAGGATTTTATTTCCAAATGCGGAGTAAATATTTCATATGAAAGTTGCATTTCAGTTAAGATTCAATGCCATAGAATTGAAACACATGTTGGCAAGCAAAAGGTCAACTTAACTAACCACTTATTCAAGCTTATAGGACGCATATCAAAAACGAAATTAACGAGTGTGGCATAAAATTTAGAGACTACCTCTGCAGCCACTCTTTGAATCATCAGAGCAGCATAGGCTCTCGCATTCACACACCTCCACTGTAAGTGCTGGTTGTGCAACAGTCTCAACATATGAGCCTCTTCAATCCGATTCTCTCCTTTCTTCGTCCTCCGCACCTCAGCAGCAAAACTTATAATCGACGGTGCATTAGTTGTAAGGCCCACAGACAAGGACCTCACCAATGTACTACTGTCTCTTGTCCTTGCAGGACTAGCGATTCCTCTTGATGGTGAACCTGCAAGCTTACTGGGACTAGAAGGCCTCGCAAGTCCTCTTAGTGGAGAAGAGACGGATCGTGACAAAGCATTGTCGCCAATTGATCTCCCCATAGCGGCTATTTTTGGCGAGGTTGGGTTCCTTGAGCCAACTGAAGATACCGGAGTCCCAGGCTCCGGCTGCCTACGAATCCTGCTATTTGTCTCTTGCCAAAATCTAGCAGACACGCTAATCCCGCGGGAGGTGACCCGAGCATGCCGAGGTACATTCAGCTCGGGAGTCCCCGAATTACTTCCGGAAGAAACACTATCGGTGTCTGATGAAGCCGAGAGCTCCGCGCTGTCAAATAAAGCCCTGCCCGAGCCACCGTCCAATAACATTGACTGCCGCAATAACTGGACAGTGGATATAAGGTCATTCCTTTCAGCTGAGCAATCCAGGCTCTTGGTCAGCATACTCGACTGCCTGCTCCTGGCCGCCGGCCAGCGATGGTGGTGATCCAGGGCCTTCAAGTTCTCGGACTGATCCGTGCTGGCAGCGGTGGAGCTTCCTGCCGCAGTAGTGGGCCGCCGGCGATCCGGTGTTGGCTTCCGGGACGGGGTCGTGGAGCCCGCCTTGGCCTTGCTGGTCTGATAGAAGAAGGATTGGCCCTGGAAGGAGACGGAAAGGCTCCGGGTGGTTGTACAGAGGGCCCTCTCAGCTTCCGATCCCTCTGCTGCCAAGGCGCCACGGGGATCTGGACGGGGAGTAGAGGGGCGGGTCCGATCCACGGACTGAGACCTCTTAGAGGCCACGCCTTGCGAAAATGTCGATGGCGTCGACGGCCGATTGTTGGGGAGAGGTGAAGGAAATCGCCGGGAACAAAAAGAGGACGATGACGAGGAGATGGTGGTGTTGGAAGAGTACGAAGTGGAGGTAGTTGACGAAGATGAAGAGTATGAGGACAAATACCTGGAGGCGATCTCCTTGGTGCGCGGCCGCCGAGATAAACCAGCATTGTCCCTCTCGGAGGGGGTTAGGGGTCGCCGTGACGAAATTGCCGGAGGATCGATCAGCCGAGTAACGACGGGAGTGTTTTTGTGAACAGATGTGGTGGTAGTACGGGATACGACGGCGGCGGAGGCCGCGGCCACCATGTCCTCCTGCGAGATCACAGCTCTCCCTCGGTTGCCTGGTCGTTGTATCCCCCTTTCTTGGCGTCCGTCGCTGGTAGATGAAGCGGAATCAAATCGCCGCGCAAAAGCACAACACCGGAACGTGAGCACTCACCGGATCATCGGCGGAGGAAGGACTGACGGAGACGAAGAGCTGCGACAGAGAGGAGATGCGCATCAGCGACAGAGCCAACAGGATTTTGGATTTTTCGGGGGGCTCTCCGTGAATATTAATTTTTGCAGTCTTAACAGAAGCGAGTGGGAGTGTGAAGCGCCTGCTTTGCAAGAAACCAGAAGAGAGAGAAAGATCGAAATTAAAATGGTAATCTGTCTTTGTTTAGTTGAGATTCCATAATTGTGAGTGCGCCATGCGCGCGTGTTGGGAGAGGAGGATTTGGGGCTAGTGGGAAAATTAACCGTCGCAGCGTTCCGCGGATACTGATACAGAAAGGTAGAGGATTGGAGAAATTTTTTTCTCCGCTGAGGCGCATAACGCATTCTGGCGGTCAGGTCCGACCGATTCAATTGTGAACCCGTCTTAAAACCGGTCCGATTCAATCTGAAGATTGGCTTTACTCCAAACCGGGTCAATCAGTGAATCGGTACTAATTTTTTAAAACCGGCCAGTTCAATTTTTTTTAATATAAATAATTAAATAAATTAATAATATTACATAAATATTAAACTTAATCAATTAATATAAATAAAACTCTTAAATTTATATTAAACACATAATTAAATATTAATTTCAACAATCTCATATGTCTTCATTATTTTTTTATCTCAATATTCCAACGTGATATTAAAGAAGACAACAAATGATATGGTTCGATTTTTCCTCAAAAGTAAAAAAATAGTTTTTTAATAAGTTATTTCAAATTTATAAAATAAAAAGCAATGGATATAGATCAGTTAAGTTGCATACTATTTTTGTCAAATCAAAGGGGATCGGGCTCGAGCCGGAGTCTTCAAAATGGCTACAACTTTCAGGAAATAATTTGTTAGTATTTTGGCCTGTTTTTGAGATATTTGAGCTGAAAGTATTAAATATAAGTTTCATTTGGGCAGTTTTCTATTATTTTCTACATCAATTTTATAACACAAAATGTTTTGAAAATAAGAAAAAATATTAATCAAAAGCTATATCATGAGAAGTCATAATTAGATTATTCAAATTAATATTTTAATAGCTATCTATAACTTCTAATTTTTCAAATATTTTTATTAAATGGTTACTGATAGATTCTCAAAAAATTATCTTGATTAAGCACGAATCTCGAGGCAATACTGAAACTTCAAAATTTAAAGTTAGGAGCACCCGAACTCCGATTTCAACGAGCTTATACTCAAACTGAGCATCTCGGAAATACGAACCCAATGGCACCAAATTCAACTCGATCCGAGCCCAAATAAGCCCAAATCAAGCACCTGAAATGCTGTTGGAGAGCTTGTACCACAATTTGAGTTACCAAACTGTCTCCGATTTTAATGAGCTTATAGTCAAATCAAGAGGCTCGACGAGACGAATCCAACGAGCCCAAGATCGCCGAATTCCAACATCACTAAAGCCTTCAAATGCCCAACGAACGGTGCACGATCGAAGGGTTCAATATCGGTTGTCATTTCGACCACTCCCTATTCGCTCATGATCTCACGCCTATATACGAGCTATGCCACTCCAGAAAACTATAAATAAAGCCCTCATTTTCACAAGGGGACTCAAGTGGGAAGAGAGAGAAGAAGATAAGAGAAGAAGGAGGAGAATTAGCTCCTACTCGACCACCGCCGGAGTTTTTTCCGCCGCCTGAATACGCCGGAATTCTCCCGGATTTTCGGGAGACGTCGGAATTCTGCAAAACTTTGTAACTTTGTTTCAATTTAGAAGAAACTGATTGTAATTTGATTGTCATGACTTGTGGGACGAATCAACCTCTGTACTTCAAACGAACACTAGTGGAATTATTTCAACTCGGCGTGGCCCCGTGGTTTTTTCCCTTTTTTCGGTTTTCACGTAAAAATCCTGGTGTTCATTTTTTCCTTTCCTGTTTGTGTGTGCTGAATATTCGTACAACGCTTGGACGTAAAATTACAAATTCTACCGCCGCGTATATTCTAGCCTGCAACAGTTACAAATATACCCACACATTTATTTATTTACATGAAATATTTAATATATAATTGTGGTAGAAAATCTTTTTTGCCCCGCTAAAGAATATCATGGGCCGAAGAATGTGGTCACCAACCTACAAAGATACTAATAGTTGATAGCAACATACATTTCTTTTGTTCCCATGACTGATTTGGACGGCTCTAATTGTTCAGCGATTCATCATCAAGGATTTTAATTGTTATTTGTTAACGCAAAAGATCATTGAAGAGGAAAAATATTATTTTGTAAACAGAAACTTTCAATAAAAAAATATTTCTTATATGTTAATTAAAAATTTATATTTATATATTATTCATTTTAAATAAATTTAAAAACTTCAAATCTCATTTTACTATTTGTTTAATGGTTCGATATCATGAGACAATTGTTTTCCACTGTCCAATTCTGAAATTTGAAATGAATAATAAAAGTTTTGAATGGTTCAACACTTTTTTTTTTTTTTGGACATTTAGGCCATTTAAGGCAAACTCACACACACAACGCATACACATAGACTCAAACCCTGAACCTCTTAGTTGGAAGCCTAAGCTCTCAACCAATAGGTCAAGGAGAGTTGTGTTGGTTCAACACTTCAATATGCATCTTACAAAAAGGAAAGGTCTATATATATATATATATATACTCACGAACATTTCCACTTGCTTTTATGTCGTTGCATAATATTAAGCATTTTTTTTTAATTATCATAAAAAATGTACAATGCTCTATAAGATGTTAGAACACTAATTAATTATGATTACTGTATTAATTACTTCTCTTTACTTATTGTGAACAAATAGATTTTGTACACGTTTCATGTCTCGTTTCCTATGCCTATATATAGGCACATGTACTAAGTTTTAAATCATCTAATAAGAAATTCCGTTTCCTTTAGTTCTTGTTCTATTCTACTTCGTCTTCCTCAGGTCCGGCGATCTTTACCGGATCAACAGTTTCTACATGGTATCAGTAGCGGGCTGATCCTTCGGCCAGCCCCCACTCATGGATTCTGCGTCACCTCCTTCCTCGACTCCGACGATCATCTTCAATCAAACAGATCAGTCGAAGATGAGCCTCTATCCTTCTCTCAAATTTATCATCGCTAATCACAAAACTCTCGTGCCTCATCATCTCACGTCAGATAACTATCAGATCTGGCGCACTCAGATCGTCAAGCTCTTCAAAGCCAACGGTTTCGAGAAATTTTTTGAATCTTCATCTCATCCGGATCAAGAAAATCAAGATTCGAACTACAATGTCGATTCTTGGAATTTCATCGATCGAAATTTGGCAGCTGCGATATGTTCAACCATTTCGGCTCCGGTACTTCCCTATGTTATGCATCTCGAAACTACTTCTAAAATCTGGCAGGCTCTACAAGTTCGGTTCCAATCAACGAACCGATCCAAAGTTATGCAACTCAAAAATGAGTTAAACAATATAGCCATAAAGAACATGTCTATGCAAAATTACCTGACGGAAATCAAGAAGATCGTTGACAATATCGCTGCTGCCGGTTCAACTATTGATACAGAGGATATTATCCTGCATATCCTTAATGGTTTACCACCAACCTATCATTCTTTTAAGACTTCCATCAGACATTTGCAGTCGCCCCTTACGCTAGATAATCTTTATGCGATGCTCGTCAGTGAAGAAATTCATATTCAAAATGACTCTATGCGTCTTGCCAATACTCAAGAACCTCAAACTGCGCTCTATGCTCAACGTGGCCATGGTCGGCGTGGTCGCGGAAGAAATACGACAACGTCCACTAACCCTTCGAAGCAAACCGCAAAATCCTCCATCACATGCCAGATCTGTCTTAAACGAGGACATACAGCGGATATCTGCTGGCATCGTCATGATGCGAACTACATTACACAACGCTCTCAGACTGATTCCAACAATGCGCTGTTTGCCACTACGGAAGCTCCAACTTCGGAGTGGTATCTTGACTCTGGCGCATCGGCTCATATGACCAACAAAAGCGACCAATAGATTCAAGGTTCTGTATATCAAGGTACTGATCAGGTGATGGTTGGTGATGGCCGAACAGTTACCATTGCTCACTCGGGACTGGGTCTTCTCCCCACACCGGATCGTAAGTTGCTCCTGTCTAATTTACTTCATATTCCAGCAATCTCTCACAATCTCTTATCTATATCTAAACTCGTTTCTACAAATAACATTTCTATCACATTTACTCCTAATGGTTTTACTCTGAAGGATTTGCAGACCAATCAACATCTTCTCAGCGGACCGTGTAAGAATGGGTTATATCCCATAGCGATGCCTCGAACATCAAATAACGCTCTGTCTGCAGTGCAAACTACTCGCATCAATTGGCATGAGCGGCTGGGTCATCCTCAGCAAAGGACTCTGCATCAGCTATCTCGGAACAACCCGCATCTTAAAATTTCTTTCTTGCATAATGATTGTATCTCCTGTAAACTCTGCAAACATCATAAACTTCCTTTCGATAGATCTGTAACTCATACTACCAAACCTCTTGAACTTTTACATTCTGACGTGTGGGGACCTTCTCCGGTCACCACAAAATAGGGATTTCGATATTATCTGCTCATAATAGATGATTACTCGCGTTATTCTTGGATATTTCCTTTATTGTTCAAATCTGATGTTATGCATACTTTTATTAATTTCATTAAACTAATCAAAAATCAAACGAATCACAACGTTAAAACTATCCGCACTGACGGAGGCGGCGAGTATATGCATCATAAATTACAACAATACTTCACGTCCAAGGGCATTCAGCACCAGGTTTCTTGCGCTTATACACCGGAACAAAACGGGGTGTCTGAGCGCAAACACCGTCACATTTTGTAAATGGCGCGAACTATGTTACAAAATGCATCTACACCTCATCATTTTTGGCATGAAGCGGTCACTACTGCGGTATATCTGATCAACAGATTACCTTCCCAGACTATCAAACACAAATCACCAATACAACTTATGTTCAACAAAGATCCGGACTACGATCATCTCAGAACGTTCGGGTGTGCTTGTTTCCCGTGTCTTCCTCCGCACACCTCAACCAAGCTTCAACCAAATTCGGTCTTATGTGTATTCATGGGTTACTCGGTTACACAAAAAGGATACAAATGCTTAAATTTTGAAACAAACAACATCTCTGTTTCTAGACATGTCACATTTATTGAAAATATGTTTCCTTTTCATAATAAACCCACATTGTCTACTCCTCTAACGCATGATCTACCTCCTCAACTTCTTATTCCAGTTTCCAAAGCTACTGAGGATTGTCCTGTAAGAACCAACACAGCGCCTTCCGTGTCACCAATCCAAGCTCCGTCTCCTACTACATCCGGGTCTCCTCCTAGCTCATCATCTCTACAGTCCGATTCCGCACCTATGCCAGTTCCCATCAAACATTCCATGACCACAAGATTTCAAACGGGCTCACTCAAACCTATATGCCGTCTGAATTTGCTTCACCAAGTTGAGCAAAGTGCTCAACAACATGTTCCCACCACCTATTCCGAGGCCAGTAAACACGTTGAATGGCATCAAGCTATGGCGGAAGAGTTCGCTGCTTTGCAACAACAAGGCACCTGGATACTTGTTCCCCCTCCGCATAACGCATCCATACTGGGATGCAAATGGACGTTTAGAAAGAAGTTCAACTCAGACGGATCGGTTGCCAGATATAAGGCTCGCCTGGTTGCTCAGGGGAACCGTCAAGAACATGGTCTGGACTATGACGAAAAGTTTAGCCCAGTGGCTAAACTTCCGACCATCAGGGTGTTATTCACAGTGGCGCTTTATCATGGATGAACAGTCCAGCAACTTGATGTCAACAATGCATTTCTTCATGGCACGTTAATGGAGACTATATTCATGCGGCAACCCAAAGGCTTCGAAGACAATATGTATCCCGGTCACGTCTGCCACTTAAAGAAGGCGATCTACGGGCTCAAACAAGCCCCTCGGTAGTGGTACACCACCTTCACCAATCACCTACTTACCACCGGTTTTCAACACAGCCGAGCAGATCCATCACTTCTCATCTATAGACGGCACGATGTTCAGATGTTTCTTCTGGTATATATAGATGATATTCTCATTACCGGGAATAATGAATCAGCGATTTCGAACCTGCTGATCAACCTCAACTCTCAATTCAGCATGAAACACCTCGGTCCAGCCAGTCAATTTTTCGGCATCTCCATCCAATCCACAAAAGATACGTATTTTCTCTCCCAATCTGCTTATGCCCTGTCTATTTTACAACAAACGAATTTGGCTAAATGCAATTCTCTGTCTAATCCCTCGGTCACGAAACAGCCATCCAACTTCAAGCCAGATAATACCATTTCTGATGCTACCGTCTACCGTCGCATAACGAGAGGACTACAATATCTCACCATAACGCGTCCCGATATAGCTCATTCCGTCAACAATCTCGCTCAACACATGCATGATCCTGCCCCTGTTCATCTCTATCTTCTCAAGCCGCTACTTCGTTACATTAAAGGGACTATCAATTTCGGTTTACCAATCATAAAATCCAAGCTGCAGCTTAGAACGTTCTCGGACGCTAACTGGGCCGGTGACCCGATCACCAAAAAATCAACAACAGGCTTCTGTACATTTCTCGGCGAAAACCTGGTCTCGTGGACTGTAAAGAAACAAACCACTGTATCTAGATCCTCCACAGAGTCGGAATACAGAGCTTTGGCCGCTGCCACAGCGGACATCATTTGGATGAGGCGTCTCATTGCAGACTTCAACATTTCGCATAATCAACCTATCTCAATCTACTGCGACAACACGTCGGCGATCGCACTGGCTAACAATCCAGTGTTTCACGTGAGGACCAAACACATTGAGATTGATCAAAGGTTCATCCGAGATCATATCTAGCACAATACTATTCGAGTGCTTCCTATTAGCACAGTGGATCAGATCACGAATATCTTCACAAAATCTTTACCCACTCTTCGGTTTAAACAGCTCCGCTCCAAACTGACGCTCAGGGAAGAAACATCAGTTTGCGGGGAGATGTTAGAACACTAATTAATTACAATTATTGTATTAATTACTTCTCTTTACTTATTGTGAACCAATAGATTTTGTACACGTTTCATGTCTCGTTTCCTATGCCTATATATAGGCACCTGTACTAAGTTTTAAATCATCCAATAAGAAATTCTGTTTCCTTTAGTTCTTGTCCTATTCTACTTCGTCTTCCTCAGGTCCGGCAATCTTTACCGGATCAACAGTTTCTACATAAGATGCATCAATTTTTTTTATGATAGACTGAAACAAAATTAAGATTTTGTTTGGAATAATTTTTTTTGTACTTTCTAAATCAGCATTTTAATACAAAAAAATTTTGAACTAGAAATTTTTGTACTAGAAAGATGTTAAAAAAAAAAAACAGTAAGAAAGATGTTTTAAAAAACAGTAAGAAAGGCATTAGTGTCTTAATTTTATATGAATATATAGCATTGATACATCATCAAAAATTGCCTTGATCGAGTACGAATCTCGACGCAAATGTGTATTAGAAACTTCCAAAATTAAATTGGGGATCATTTAAACTCTAATTTCAACAAATTTATAGTCAAACTGAGCGTTTTGAAGAGATAAACCCAATGACACAAAAATCAGTTCAATTTGAGCCCAAATGATCCCAATCAAGGGTCCAAAATTTATTTGGAGGGTTCAAAGCACTAATTGGGTAACCAAATGATTGTCGAATATGACATGCTTATAATCGTATCAAGTGACTAGACAAGACAAATCCAACGAGCCCAAGATTGTTGAATTCTGACATCATTAAGACACACAATTACTCGATCAACAATTTATGATTGAAGGAATCGATATCGATCATGCATCCTAACACTCCCAACTTGACCTTGTTCTTCTCAATATTTACAATTCATGTCACTCCCAAAAAATGGGTAGGAGAAAAAGGAAGAAGGGCGGAAAAAAAGAGACATCTACGATCTCTCTTGCCACCAAGCTCCCCCACGTCAATCACTAGGCTACCGACCGTTGTCGGACTTCCGCCCAGCCACCAACTGTCGCTGGAATTATACCAGGCAATTGATTGTCGTCGAACTTTCATCTCACCACTATATATTGCTCGCGTACTACGGTCTCCTCAACCACAGTCATCCGACTACGATCCTTCCGACCAACATTGTCTGACTACGATCTTTCTGACCATCGTTGTCCAATTACGATCTTTCTGACCTCAGCCGACCATCAATTACTCTCCCCGCGACCAACATCGCCTACAAACTATGATCCTTCCAACCAAACGAACATGTCAACATTGATTCTTCCAACTCCCACCATGTAATGCATTATATATGATATATATTTGATACATCGAGCTAAGTCCTTCCCCCAAGAAAAGGAGCCTCATTTGTAATCTATTGTAAACACTAGGAGATTCATTTAAACTGGGGAAGACCCCATGATGTTTTTCTCTTTTCATGGGTTTGCACATAAAAACTTTGGTGTTTCATATGAATGCGACATACCTTAATCTTTTTTTTATTTGTGTGCTCACAAAGCCAAAATTTTAAACTTTACATTTCTCTACTAACACGAATATTCCAGGACACAATAAGCATATATATATATATATATGTTCGAGAGAGAGAGAGAGAGAGAGAGAGAGAGAGAGAGAGAGAGAGATATGCATGTTAAAGTATTTTTTTTATTATGTTCGATGTTATTTGTTAGAGTGTTACTCTACGATGTTATTATGTATGAAAGATTTTGAGAAAAATTATATGATTTTTTAACCATTCAAGATTGTTTGTCAAAGTGTTATTCAATAATGTTAATATGTGTGAAAGAAAACAATTTAAATATTCTTAAGATCAATTGTACCTTAATTAGGAGGAAGTAAATGTCACGTGTGTAAACAAGCTTATTAATTATCAAATATTGCGTAGGATCTGTGTATGATTGAGTGAATTTTTTGTCTTACATAAAAAGCATAAACAAGCTTATTAAACAACTCATAAATTTATATAAGTTTAGTTTATGACAAAATAAAAATATAGCATTAAATTATCACAATTATATCAAATGAAACATTAAGTTCAAATAATCCAACTTGTATATACTTATTATTTCACTAATTAATATGAAAATAATTAATGCTTATTACGTCTCGAAACATTCATGACGGTGAAGAAATAGAAAGTTTAACACCATAGTTTCATATGAAAATTCAATGCACATGCATATTAGAGAGAGGTGCAAGAACTATAAAGATGTCAGATTTTTTTACGTGGAAGCACTAGAAAAGAGAAAAATCATAAGGAATAGCTCAATTAAAATGATTCCACTAACATTTTCGTTGATTACAAATGATGTTTTTTTTTTCTCGAGGGAATGCATCGGCACAAGATGACAAACATACATTATATAGAACACATTACATTGATGGAATTAGATGAACCTAATGGCATAAGAGCTATTTTTAAGAGATTATTAGCATGTGTATTTGGTCAGAAGGATCGTCGTCAGGTGATAGTGGTCGGAGGAATCATAGTCTTGCAATGTAGGTTGGTGGGATTAACAATCCCTATAAATATATAGAAAATCTAAAGCAAATATGGAGCACTTCATCGGACAACTAATAGTGGTTCCTTGATCTTAAAGCCATCATTCAACATTTAAGCGCCTTAATAACATTAGATTTAAGCAATATTTGACTCGTTGGATTCATCATGTCGAATCGCTCGATTCTATTACAGGCATGTCAAATTTCAAGATCATTTGGTCATCCAATTAGTTTTCTACAATTTTCAATTGTAGTTCAGGCCCTTGATTTGGGTCAATACGAGATCAGATTGAACCATTTTTTATGTTATTGGATGTCTCGTCGATACATAAATTAGCTAAAACTAAAATTCAAATGATCCAAAGTTTAATTTTGTAAGTTTTCAATTCAAATATCTCTTGATATTCATACCCGATCAAAACGATTTTTTTTAGATATCACAAAATTGTGAAAAATACCAAAAGTTATATGGTTTGCCAACTTTAATTGCTAGGCGAGCCCCCCAAAAAACTTTTTAACTGAAATAAAACGAATTCTTTTATTTATTTATTTAATATAAAGGGTCAATTCAGTTTGATTTTAGAGGTTCATTTTTGCATTACAATATTGCATGTACTTAAGACTGTTTCCGTGTCGGTTTTGGTTTAAAGTTAATAAAATCGAATCAGTCAATTGCGTTTAATTTAATTCTCTATCGGTCCGATGCTCATTCATGCCGTTTAATTTGGCAAAGTTGTGGTCAACTATTTATTTTTTACTTAAATTTTTAATTTTTACAACAACATCAAGCCTTTATCCCACTACATTGGGTCGACTACATGAATACTTTTTCTTCATTGTGTCATATTAAAGGTCAAATTCTCATTTAAATCTAATAAAGAAAGGTCATTCTTAATATTTTCTAACCAAGTTTTTTTAGGTCGTATGCCTTTCCTTTCTTAACATAAGTCAAATCTAATACCTCTACTCTCCTAACTGGGTCATTGGAAGGCCGCCGTTTTATGTGACCAAACCATCTAAGGCGACTCTCTCTAATCTTATCTTCTATTGGAGCTACTCCAACCTTTTCACGTATATGCTCATTTCGTATCCTATCTCTAAGGGTAAAGCCACTCATCCACCTGAGCATCCTCATCTCTGCCACACTTAACTTAGTATTATGCTTCTCTTTTAATGGCCAACATTCAGCACCATAAAGCATTGCAGGCCTCTCACTACCATCTTATATAATTTTCCCTTAAGTTTGAGGGGTACTTTTCTATCACACAACAAGCCCGATGCATTCCTCCACTTCAACCATCCAACTTAAATTCTGCTGATAATATCTCCATCAATTTCACCATCACTCTAAACAATAAATCCAAGATATCTAAAACGTGTACTCATATTAATGACTTGATTGCCCAAAGTCACAATCCCCTCACTATGTATATTACTACTAAAATTATACTACATATATTCTATTTTAGATTTACTCAAGCGAAAACCTTTAGTCTCTAATGTTGACCTCCATAATTCAAACAAAATAATTTTAAGATAAATTAGAAATTCAAAATAGCATGTGCTTTCTCAAATTTGTTTGAACAACAATTTTTTTATTAGGGCCTATAGTTGCAATTGTCTAGAAATTCAATGGTGAACTTATGATGGGAAAGGTTTAGTTTTTAGAATATGAGTAATATATGTTTTTATTAAAAAAATATAAGAGTAAATTTCTTACAAGCGATAAAACTTTAAGCATATTTAAATGTAAAAATTTCTTATTGTGTCAAAATATTTGTGGCGCAGATTGAGAGAGAGTGATACATTTGTTTTGTAGGAGAATTCATCATAATACACAAATAAAAGATGAGTTGTAAAAGATATTATAGATTTTTTACTTTAAGAAAAAAACATATTAACATTTTACCTAGTTGAAATGATTTAACTAAAATTTCTCACGGATCAAAAATAATATTATTTATCATAACTGAAAAATGTGTTGATACAATATTGATGATATAAACTACATGATGAATTTTATGGTGGGAGTTAGAAATGATGTGGTAAAGAGAGTTGTCTTCAAGAGATTATTTATTTTCATTTTGATCGATCTCTTTTGAGGAGCGGAAGATCAGAGATGAAGTAGTCTTGCATAAATATTGATGTGTTGGGAGTCGAAGTTGATGCCAACAACATGTGTTTGCCTATGGGTAATTGTGTGCATTGTTATTGTTTGCGATGACAAATTAATGACACTACAGGAAAAACGGTCATTTACGCGGTCATATTCGTCAAAGAATGTGAAAAATTCACCAAAAAAATAGCTTTAGATTAGCTAATAAATTAATTTAAATTATTTAATTTAACATAACAATAATTATTAAAACTATTCATTTATTTTATTTTAGTTTAATAATATTTAATATAACTATTTTAATTTGACAATAAGTTATTATTAAATTACTTAATTTGAATTAATAAAATGAATAATTATAAACATCTATTAGAATTATTTTTCAGAAAATTTAAATTCCGTCGAAAATTTCATAAAAAAATCTGCCGCTAATCCAAATATTTTGCCATAAATCTGCTGGAATTTCTGACGGATTTATTTCCGCCAGAAATTAGCATTTTTTCCTTTAGTGTGAGAGGAGTTAGTATAGCCAAGTCAAGACAAGCAATGGGTTGAAGGACAACGATGATGGTTGGAGGATCATAGTCAAATGGTGGTGGTAGGAGGATCATAATCACACAATTGTTGTCTGAGGATTATGTTCATGTGTCGAGAGGCCTAATTGAGCTCGACAATGGCTGAATGATCATAATTAGATGGCAGTCAAATGATCATAACAAGGTGATGATAGTTTGAGGGCTATAATTCGGTGAATATAGTCAAAGGGTCGTAGTCATGCGACATTAATTCAATGATAGTAATTAGGAGACGGTGGACAAAGGATCATACATGCAAAGGAGGCCTGAGGATCACACTCAACTGACATTGGTCTGAGTAATATAGTTGGAAGATGGTGGTCGGTACATCGACGTCGATGGTGATCGATGGTGGCAATTCAATAAAAATGAATAAATGAAGATTTTACAATAATAGTCAGTTGGTGGTTAGATGATTGTTCGATGATAACGGTCAAGTGATGATTGGTTGGAGCTCCAAGATTATTTGCGCTTCTATGCTCTCTTGAATATCAGCCGAAGGTTCAAGCCCACCTTCATATACAAAATGAGGGATTTTTTATAGATTTTTTAGAATTGCATGTATAATAAATATGACCAAATTTGAAAGACATCATGGGACAACCTACATAAAATTTATAAGACATCATTACATAAATCCTAACCCCACATAATAGGATATGAATCCTAACCCCACGTAACATGATAAAAATTTGTTGTCATTATTATTCATTAGTTTTTTTCCCCTATACTAGGCTTCTGTTGCTGGGCTGCGCCGGGGTTCTCCCTGCCCGCCGGTTGCTATCCTGGCGTCCAGGGAAGTTTCCTCCTCTTTGTATCTTAATTGTTTTGGTGTTTGCTCAGTTTTTTTTACTCTTTTTCCCTCTGGCGGTGCCGGTATGGCTCCGAATAAGTTGCAAGATCCCGATTTCTTTTGGGGGGGAGGTGTTTATCATTCCTGTTCGTTTTTAGATGTGCTTGCTAGTTCTTCTACTTCTTCCTCATTTCTAGTTCTTCGGACTTCTACATTTCGGGGTCTGCCCTCCTTTGGATTTCCGACCAGGAAATCAAGGCTTTGGCTTCTCCTTTTTAGTTTTCTTTAGTTGGTTATTTTCCTACTATGAGGCCTTCTCTAGACACCATTCGGAATTTTTTTTAACCTAAAGCTAAATGGCGAGGTCTCTATTACATTGTTGGATCCTTCTTACATACTGATCAAATTGGAAAATGACCTAGACTATTGTAGGGTTTTTTTGTTTGCCATAGATCTTATCTAGTTTTCAACTGATATATGAAATTAACTAAGTGGTAGCCTTGCTTGGACGTTGGTGTTGAGTCGCCTGTTATTCCGATTTGGATTTCTTTTCCCCACCTTCGTCCCCATTTGTACACCCCTCGCATTCTTCATGGTAATGGCGCTATCTTTGGAAAACCGTTGAAATTTGATGAAGCAACTTCTATAGGCTCATAGCCTTCTATTGCCCGTATCTTAGTGGAGCTTGATATTACTAAATCTTATCCTAATCAAGTCTGGTTAGGCTCTGAAAATTTAGGGTATGTCCATGAGGTTGTTTTTGACAAATCCCCCCCCCCCATTTTGTGCGTCTTGTAAGTGTATTGGTCATGTTTCGAGTAAATGCCATCCTGGCTCGGCTGTTCCCCCTAATGTTACAATTACTCCGAGCTCTAATTTAGTCCCTGCTATTGTTGATAATGTTGTTGTCCCTTCTGTAACGATGCCTGAGATGCAGCGATTGGATTGTGATGTTAGCATTCCTAAGGTGGAGGTTACTGTTTTGCCTCCTGTTAATGAGCTGGGGTATCCGGTGCCGACTTCTCCTAACTTGTTGCCTTTTAATTCGTTTAACAATGTTATTTCTATCGATGAGATTGGTGTCACTGGGTCTACTGTGAAGGCTCTTGAGGATATTGTGCATGGGGTATTTGCACCTCGGGCTTGTGCTAGTGCTGGTGATCTTTTGGGTGAGTCTGGCATCCCTAATTCTTGCCCTGTTTTTCTAGGGTGTAAGCTATGTCTACATCGTGCGTTTTAAATGGTAATGTGGTGCCTTGTGTCGATGTGGAGGATTCTGGTGAGTCTCGACTGCCTTGCTCTTCGGCTAATTTGAGTGGGGATACTTTGGTTTCACCCTCGGGTGTAGTGTGTATGGGATTTGGTGTTGTTCCTACTGTTAATTCTCCAGTTAAGACAACTTTAAATGGTTATTTTGTTGAAGTCGCTGTTAATTTAGTCTCCCCTAAGGCGTTGGTTGCTCAAGTAGATGCCAATTCAGGGGAGAATATTAGGATGCAACTTGATTGGCTTCAATGCTCTTTTGATTCTTCTTCGAAAATTAGTGAGGATGATGAACCTGGGGTTGATTTTCCCTTACCGAATGATCGTCTTGTTGTTTCTGTTTCTTCTCGTGGGAGGGGTAAACGTGGGAGGAAATAAGTTGTGGGTTGGTGCTACTGTCTTTGGTTGGTTCTTGGCTGTCTTTGTTGCTTCTCGATGGTGGTTTTTGCATTGATTGGCTTTGCTTGTGCTGGTTCATTGGAGCTTCGATTTATATTTACAGTTGGCTGTTTGGTTTGATGGACAATGATGTGGCCGGGGCTGGCTTCTCCGTCGTCATGGCTCGTGGCAACCTTTGGTGGTGGTCTCTTGCTCGGTTGGGTTGGCTGCTTCGTATTTTACTACTATCTTCACCAAATTAGATGGTTTGAGCTTAGCTTCGGGGAAGCTAGAAGTCTCGGTCAATTACTAAGACCTTTGGGTTGTAATTCCCTTATATTTTCTGTTGCTTTCCTGTCATTTTGCTCCTGTGCTTCTTGTACTCTTTTTATGATTTTAATAAAATTTTTTGTTCTTTGTTAAAACAAAATGATAAAAATTTGTTGTTGTCGTATGTCGTCGTATTACTTCACACCACTAAATTTTCTAGAAGTGAAGGAAGGCTTTGACGAAATAAAAGTGTAACTGCAGTACTTAAAATAGAGATGGAAGAAGCTGTCACAAACGCAATCTTCTCGTAGCTTTTCACTGCTTTTCACGTTTATCTCCAGCAAGCGTTTTCTCTTCGTTGTCTCATCTTAAAAAAAACAATGTCCCAACCACCCTTCTTCCCCCATAGCCATCTCATCCTTTTACGAAGATCGAGCGGTGATCTCCTCTTTCCATTCGTCATCCCCTCCTGATCTTTAAGGCTTTGCATACCAGTTATCTGATCCTCACTTAGGAATCATCTATTTCTGTTCCAAGTTGTTGGGAATTGGCAATGTCATCTTTTCCAACTCAACTTCTCGAGACGTTTTTTTTTTTATATAATTATTTTTATTAGACTTATGAGAATTTAACACATGTTTCACGTGTTTGATTAGAATCATTAATTGTTTTGATTTATTTTAGGAATGGTTGTGTCCCGAAACATTTGCGGTAGTAGAGATATAGAGTTTGATGTCCTAGTTTTGTATCCAACATGCACATATAAGAGAGAGTGATGCAATAGTCATAAGAGACACTATGATTTTTAATAGAAAATCCTGAAAGGGTAGAGGTCTAATATTAGTGATGGCCTAGCAGCGCAGGTTCACCAGCATTGGTGTTAGGTGGAGCACAGAGATTCTTCAAGCCTTAAAGTTCTCTTGAGTCTCTAGCCCATAATCTAAACCTCTAAAAGTCTCAACCCTCTTTCATGTTGAAAGCTACGGATCAACAACGGTGGTTAATGGCGATAGTCTGATGATGGTGGTTGGACAATATTAGTGCAATAATGGTGGTCGGATGGCAAAGATCTAATAAAGGTGGTCCATCGATAATAGTCAAACTATGGCACTCATACGGCGATGCCCTGGTGGTGGTGGTTGCACTATGACAATTCGACAGAAGTGTTTGGACGATGGGGGTCCAATGACGATGGTCGAATGGCTCTATTTGGACAACAACTATCAAATGACGTTGCTAGCCCATAAGCGATGGTGTGGTGCCAACAAGGCAGTGGTCAAGTGACAAATGTCCAACGACAATAATCAAACCACAATCGATAAACGATAAAGCTCTCTTCAATTTCCAGTTAATACCCAAGAAGCAATCCTGCCCCGTAATATTAAGAATGCGAGTCTATTTATAATTTTTTAGGATGACAATTTGATAAATCTAGTCAAAATCTTAAAAGATTTCATCAGATGAGTCATATGAATTTTCTTGATCATTTTTGTTTTATAATTTAAGTGCCTTAATAAAATCAAATTTAAAAAAATAGTAAGGAAGCCCTCCGAAACAAAGCCTAAGTTTTCTAAGATAGGTGTTTGGATGATCATGAAATCTATGCAAGAGATTTTCAATCCAAATATGTACAAGGACATGTACTTGATTAAATAAATTTTGATAATGTATCACTTTGAAGTCTGAGTTCCTTTTTTTAAATAAATTTCAAAAACATTATCCAAATGATTTTCTATTTATTGATCAAAATAAATTTTTCTAAAATGTCTTTTCTATCAAAAACTGGTAGAACACAGAAATCAAATAAAATCTAAGTGAAGTATTTTTATTATCTTTTTATGACTTTTTTTTTTATGAAATGCAGCTTAATTTACTTTTAAAGATAAGAATTGGAACATCATGCCTCTAATTACTAATATTATTATTTGCTTAATTTCTAATTGCTCTTATGAGGGAAGCTCCTCTCGGCAATATTAATAGGGCAAACCAAATATTAGGTCACCAAATCATTAATTAACACTAATTAAATCATCGGCGTGCCTTCTCATTAGCATACAAACAATTGGTGTTGACTTCCTTTTATTTATTATTAACACTAATAACGACGCTAATGATAATTTTAGCGTATGCCTAATCAACTCTGAATATATTTTGTTTATTGCATATCACAAAAGCCTTGAGATTTAAGGCTTCGTTTATTTTTTTGATGCTTTTGTAAAAGACAGTTTTAAAAAACATTAATTCAGAAAATAGAGTTTTCTAACAGAGAAGAGAAGCATATATAAAAAGCTTTCTCAAAATTGCAGAAAAATGAAAAAAAAGGAGTTATTGGGAACGTGATTTGACGAACCAAACAACACTAATAACATGATAAGCTCAATGTACCTGTATACCGTTCGGTAACCTGTATAAGGACCGGTCCTAGTCACTCAATGTATTGCCACTCTATATATAGTTCATAAGTCTGTAATAATAAATCATCAAAGAATCATTTTCTATTTATCTCTGTCTTCATGGTATCAGAGCCATACGCTCTGTATCGCTCTTTCGCATCAACGTCTTTCGCCATTGTTCTTCTTCCTCTTTTCGCCTGACTAAAAAGTTCTTGATTTCTTCTCCTTTCTCGTATCCGTTGCCGATGATGGCAACCTCATCTACAGGATCTCAAACAACCGAAAATCAAGATACAGCGACTCTTGATACCTACAACATTCCCGGATCTCTCAAGTTCGTAATCTCGAACATCAAGATCATCGCGAATACTCCGCTTTCGTCCGACAACTATACAATATGGCAATCACAAGTTCTCAAACTTCTTACCGCCAATGGATTTCTACCCTATATTCAAACTTCCACATCAATTCCCGGTCGTCTCAAGATTCAACCCGACGGAACGACGACGACCAACACCAAATATAGCGAATGGGTCCTTATTGATCAAAATCTCGCTGCCGCCATTTGCTATACTGTTTCTCCAGCAATTCTTCCATACGTGATCAATCTCACGACAACAGCAGCGATCTGGTCCACACTTGAACGTCGACTGCAATCGTTCAAGGGTAATACAGCTCAAGAACGAGCTACACAACCTGCAGATGAAAAATGACACTATGTCGCAATATCTTACAACCGTAAAAACCATTTCGACAATATAGCCACAGCTGGATCGGTTCTTGATCAAGAAGACATCATACTATATACTTTAAATGGACTACCGGCTTCTTATAATGCCTTCAAGACATCGATCCGCACTATGCTTCATCCAATTGATCTAGACGATCTCTACTCACTCTTGATCAGCGAAGAAATTAACATCCAAGCAGACTCCGTTCGGCAAATCTCGGTCTCGGATTCTTTGGTGGCTCTCT